CCAATAACAAATCCCAGCTTGTTAGGCTTCAGGCCATTCAGCTGAGAAAGATCAGGCTTCTCAGGCTCTGGCTCGTCGGGGGATTCGTAGTATTCAGCCTGTGCGATGACATTGCCGTTCTTGTCAGTGATATCTCCGTCTTCGTCGACCGCACGTCCAAGCAGCTTCTTCGGGTCTCCTTGAACGATCTTTCCGACTCTCTTGCCATTCTCGTCTTCAACCCATCCGTCCTCAACGACGTGGAGACCTTCCAGGCCAGCGAAGGGTGGCTCGCCCTCGTAATCCTCAACAGGAAGGGTCTTTGCCTTGCCGATAACATTACCACGGTTGTCCCAGAACTGGCCCTTGTCGTCCAATTGAGCCCCCATGCGGGAGATCTTCTTTGCGTCGCCTTCGACAAGCTCACCGACGGGCTTGCCAGTGTTCGGATCGACGATCTTGCCTGATTTGGTGCACTTCATACCTTCAAGTGAGGAGAGTGGTGGCAGCTGTTCCTCGGCTTCTTCCTTGGTGTCCTCGACTGCGGACTCGGCCTTCTCCGCTGTGTCATCAACGTCTTGCTGCTGGACGCTTTCAACTGCTTGCTTGGCGATGTCCTCTTGGGTGCTCTGGTCTTCAGGAGCCAACTTCTCGGTGTCATCGACTCCGTCTGTGGCGTCCTTGGCTTGCTGGGAGACGATCTCAGCGCGGCCGATTGGATCGCCATCCTCATCCACGACCTCGCCTTCATTGTTCAGAGTGTAGCCGACAAGGTCCTCGGGGTCGCCCTCAGCGATCTTTGCGACGACTTGGCCGGACTTGTCTTTAATGACGCCCCCTTCAGACACAGGAAGGCCATCGAGGTCAGCGAGATCAGTCACAGTTTTCTTGGCCCGTTCCGTGGTCTCTTCGGCCTTGTCCTTGGCTTGTTCCGCAGCATCGTCGGCCTGCTCGGGGATCTCACCAGCCTTATCAGTGACATCCTGGGCTTCTTGTGGTAAGAGTTCCACTCGGCCGATGAGGTCGCCGTCTTCGTCGACAATCTCTCCCTTGTCATTCACGGTATAACCAACAAGATCTTCCGGGTCCCCTTCGGCGACTTTGCCGATGGCTTGGCCGTCCTTATTCTTGATGAGCCCTTCTTCCGAGACGGGAAGACCATCGAGGTCGGCGAGATCAGTCACGGCATTCTTGGCTTGTTCGGTCGTTTCTTCCGCCTTGTCCTCAGCCTGGTCAACAGTCTCTTCGGCCTTATCCTTAGCTTGATCGGCAGTCTCGTCTGCGGTGTCCTTCGCTTGCGAGGCAACATCCTCAGCCTGTTCTGGAACATCCTTCGCCTTGTCGGTAAGATTCTGCGCAGCATCAGGCAGAAGCTCCACGCGACCAATGAGATCGCCGTCTTCGTCAAGAATCTCTCCGTCATCACCCACTTCCTGGCCGACGAGATCTTCGGGTTCACCTTCCACAACCCGGCCCAGAGGCTTGCCATCCTTGCCGAGGACTTGGCCACCTTCACCGACCTCGAGGCCCTTTAGGACAGATAAATCAAGGTCGGTAGGAGGAAGATTCTCGTTTGCCTTGTCGGTGACACTCTGCGCTTCGTCGGAAGGAAGGTCTTCCTTCGCCTTGTCTGTGACATTTTGCGCTGCATCAGGCAGGAGTTCGACGCGGCCAATTAGATCACCGTCTTCATCAAGGATCTCTCCATCGTCACCAACTTCCTGGCCAACGAGATCCTCAGGGTCGCCTTCCGCGACTCGTCCTAGAGGGTTGCCATCCTTGCCAAGGACCTGACCACCTTCACCAACCTCAAGGCCCTTCAATGCGGACAGATCAAGAGGGGTAGAGGGAACATTCTTGGCTTCCTCTTCGGCATCCTGCGCAGCATCCTTCACCTTACCACCAAGACCCTTTGCTGCGCCTGCCAAGTCGGAGGTCTTGCCGCTTCGGCTTGCAGAACCGGATGCCTGCGACTGGACATCATCCGGGACGGGGGACGAAATGCCCCGCTGCTCAGCCTCGGGCTTGGACTTCTTCTTTGGCTTGGCAGGGGGTGCCTCCTCTTCCTCCTCTTGCTCCTCTGGCTCGTCCTGGCTGTCTTCCGGAGCAGGTTGTTCCTCAAGCTGCTCGGACTCGGGCTCGGGATCGGGCTGGGACTTCTTCTTCTTCGGCTGGGGAGATGGGGTTGGAGGCTTCTCGTCGTCGACGTCTTCCTCGACGGGTTTGGGCGTTCTGGTCTGCAGCTTGCGGGGAGTCTTCTTGTTCTTGGGGGTGGTGATCTCCGGCCTTGAGGACGCAGCGCTGGAACCGGAACCCTTGCGAGACCTGTGGGGGGTACCAGGGTTTCTCTGGATGGGGTCACGAACGCTTGGCGAGGACATTTCGATGGCGTTTGGATGAGAGTCGATATGCTCTGGAGATTGGGAGGTATAAAAGGGGTAGTTGAAGCTATGTTTCAACGAAGTCAATTGGGGACCAATGCTGGAAGAATATCAGGTCAAGTAGATGTATGGCTTTGCAAGGTCAATTCGTAAATCAATGAGTCGTGGTCGTCAACCGTTAACGTAAATTATAAACTGTGTGATAGCAGTAAAGTACAGTGCAATTGAATATGTCGTGAATATCAGATGAGCTTTTGGGTAGATGAAAGTATGATTGGATTATACAGCGTCAGTTAGAGTTGAGTATAGGTCTTTCTGTACGAATATCTATTCATCTCAAAGCAACATCCCCCCTCAACTCATTTAAATGCACACAAGCAACAATCACTTGCTCCTATTACCATCCTACGTCATGGACGATCGACATCATCATCATCATGCACAAGCCAGGCCAACGCTACCAGTATCAAGTTGTTGCATCCAGTGGCCTCTTGTCCCGCCATTCGCCTCCTTCCTATCAAGCAAGACATACACCGGGGGCACATATGTAATGAGGGTAACGCAAAAGGCAGCCACAGTCACTTGGGACCGGACGGTGGCTTGAGACCAAGGGTCGATCCGTGGATGGCCAGCCTTAGTATGGTAGACTGGATATCGAATCAGGAGGGAGAAGAGTAAGGTAACCGGTTGGAATAGATTAAATATGACTGCATAAAGTGTACATCCGCCCGAAAAGGACCCGCCTGAGAGTCTCCACGGGAGCTACAATACCACGGTGCAGGACGAGTGTTGATACTTGATCTGTGTTTTCCTTTTCCTCGCTTTTGGTTTTTGACAGTTGAAGAGGAGTCATAGTTGCGTCAGGGTGCAGGGGGTGAATTGGTTATTATTTTCTGTGTTTGAAGCTGGTATATTATTGTATACATTATAGTACCTTAGGTGAAGTAGAAGATATCCACCATAGCGAGATTACATCACACTACAGACAGACTCCTGTTGTATGACAGCAACTGCATTTAAAGACAGTATCTCTCTGTTCTACTGTCATGTATACCTAAAAGGTTGTCTGTATACAAGACAATCCTGCTTCCGAGCCTAACGACTCGCTAACAGCGCCTAAGATGAGATCATCGCCAAAGTCTTACGTTAGTCCTGCTCCCAGATTTCCAATCGGAGAATTTACATCGATCGTCTGCGCAGCCCATTCCAGCCCATTGATATCATTTGATATTACATGATTGGATCGATCCAGCTTTGGCCGTTGACATTAGTGTGCCACTGCGGCATGACAGGTCGATTGGGCTGGTTCCGATGACGTGCGGTGGGGATTGCCAACCCGCGTGTTTCTCCACTCATCTGTCAGTGGTTTAGGATATAAATATTAATAGGGTCTGTTCCATGGATTGGATGCGGTAGTTGTGTAGGTGCTAATAAAAGTGCGAGGGGTCGAGAGGTACTGGTACTGGTATCCGTACAGTGTACCTCTGTACACATATGTGGTGGCTCGATGATGCTTCGGGGCCGACAGTGGCTTGCTAGGGCCTATGACTTTCTTCAGTGTCTCTGATGAAGGTCATGATATTGCAATGGTCTACTGGAACATGGATATAAGTGTACAGCATTGCCATATTGGAGTTTCCTGGAAGAGCACTCTGGTCAATTTGTCGCGGTGTTGTTGTTGTACCTACTTAGACTTGGAGTAGCTCTCCTGACGTAATGCGGTCAGGGCTGTCATCACAACCTGAATCAGCCACCGATGGGACGGGCGCTGATTGGCGGATCATCTGGAAGCATAAAATGAGTATAATTACTAATGAAGCTTTATGTTGGAGTTAGATTTATGAATTGCTGCCTGAGGCCGCTAATGTAGATGACAGTGAGCACCAGCAAGTCTTCCTGCTTGGAACTAATCAGGTAAGATCTTTACCTCTCTTCAATATTTGCGTCGTTTCTAGAATTGTTCCATCCATTCCTCTGGTGAACTCTTACAATTTGACCAACGTGGCCGAATTCCATCCTACTTGTGACAGACCCCAGCAAGACGGATATTACTGATCCCTGTCAAGTCCCCCTTTAGTCTGCTTCGCTTCTCGAAACCGTCCTCTTACATGAATTAGCACCTTTTCACCATGGATGATTACAGAACCAGGTCTTCGAGCTTGATGAGCTCTTCTACAGCTATGAATCTCGATGTCACTGTTACAACTGATCATCAGTGCATTATCACCCCGCAAAGATACCTTGTCTGACAGCTACGGAGATGGAGTATGGAGTAGCAGTGTCAAAGGTACTCTTCCTCGGTTCCACTATGCATTTTTCAGGAGGGAGAGGGCGTCGATCGACAAGCACCATACTATTCTTGGTAAGGAGCTATTCCACTAGCCCTTAATATGCAATCTCTCATTCGCTCTTTCAACACCCCTTCCCCGGACATGTTGTCGGCACACCGGCGATCCAGGAAGATGTCCGATGCTAAGGCGACCCCGTCTCCGATAAGCACGGTATGTTCTCGATAAGGAGACGGTCATATGAGACTACGATGGGCAGACCAGAATGTTGACTTTAATTTATCAATCTGGGTCTGAACCAAGCACATTTTTCGACTGTGTATGTTGAGTTCCCTCACGCACATCCACCACAATGGGTGACTCGAAAATGGCATCTCCTGTGGCCGACGCTGTCGAGGATCATGGCTCTGGTATCATTCGGGTTCAAAATGCAGATGAGCTGCGTTTGGCGCAGATGGGTATGTTTTAGCTGGATTCGTCAATGAGCGGTTGTTGACCACGCCTAGGCCATAAACAAGAGCTAAAAAGACATTTCTCGGTATGGAGTCTAATCGGTCTGGCTGCCAATTGCACCATATCGTGGACTGGTGAGTCTCCCCTGATCAACATTGGATCTTTTTTTTTGGTTTGTTGGGTTGACATCTCCATTGCAGGTTTGGGACTCGGTTTGATCACGTCTATCAACGCCGGTGGACCTGGTGCTTGTAGGACACTCCCCGATCTTCTGCGCGACATTATGATTGACGGCTCCAGTGATCTACGGGTTTATCCTCGTCTTCATCCTCCAATGCTTTTTGGCTACCTCCTTGGCTGAATTTGTGTCTGCATACCCGGTCGAGGGTGGCATGTACCATTGGATTGCTGCCATTGCCCCGAAACGATACAACAGCATTCTCAGCTTCGCGACGGGTTGGAGCACGGTATTCGGATGTGAGCTTGTCCGGGATCATTGTTTTAGAGACAAATCTAACGGGGACAGGGATATTCACAACCGCATCTACCAATCTGATCTACGCGACCAACTTCATGGCCTTGATTGCGCTGTACCAGACGGATCTCGTGATTCAGCCATGGATGACCTTCGTTGCGTACCAGGGATTCAACATTTTGACGGCGGGGATAGTCATGTTTGGGAATCGTTATATTCCACTTATCAACAAGTTTTCTTGTGAGAAGATATTTTCGCATTTTATGAACCTGCCATGCTAACAGTCGAGCAAGTATGCTATCTCCAACTGGCCTGGTTCGTCATCATGGTCACCGTTGCTGCCGCAGCTCCCAAGCATAACGACAGCGAATTCGTGTTCAGAACGTGGATGAATAACACCGGCTGGGAGAACAATGTAATCTGCTTCATCACAGGACTGGTGAACCCGCTATACTCGCTTGGTGGTCTGGATGGCATAACGGTTTGTCCTTTCCCTGAAAATGTCTAGGCTCTTCTGACCAAAATTGCAGCACATCACAGAGGAAATGCCAAACGTAAGTAGTATTGCTCAAGTTCGCATCCAGCCGCTGACTTGACTCGCCCAACAGCCTGGACGAAACGCTCCTTTAGCCCTCGGTGAGCTCTTTTTCTCTCCTTGCAATCCCTCGCCTTGCAACTAATGTCGAACAGCCTGCACGCTCGGCATTGCTTTCGTGACCGGGCTTACCTACCTGCTCAGTCTCATGTACTCCGTCCAAGACTACACCAGCCTAGCATCAACCCAGACAGGCCTTCCCCTGGCAGAGATCTTCCGCCAGGCGACTCAGACCCGCGGCGGTGCCTTTGCCTTGACCTTCATGCTGTGGGTCGCTCTGGGCCCATGCATGCTCGGCTCTCAGCTAAGTATGCCCATGCACTACCCTCACCCACTTTTCTCCGCAGTAAAAATCTAACGTCTCACACGCTAGGTACCGGCCGAGTTTTCTGGGCGTTCGCTCGTGACGGCGGCCTCCCGCTCTCGAGGATGTAAGCAGCTTCCCAACTCTAGTCATTCATACTACGAAAACCACCTAACAGGCAATTCTAGCTGGGCAAAGGTCAACCCCCGCTTCGAAACCCCGTTCAACGCCCAGCTATGCGTGGGCGTCATCACTGCCCTGCTGGGCTGTATCTATCTCGGTTCTAGCACCGCCTTCAATGCCATGATGAGCTCGGCGGTGTAAGTGCAGGCCTTTTTCGTTGTGTGAGGTGCAACCGTGTAACTCGATGTGCTGATTCGTGGCATGCAGGACAATTAACAACCTGGCCTACCTCGTCCCCATCCTCACCAACGTCCTTGTGGGGCGCCGGACGATGCACCGCGGTCCCTTTTTCCTGGGTCATGTGCCCGGTATGGCTGTGAACATTATTACGGTTGCATGGCTGGTGTTTGCCATTGTGTTTTTCTCGTTCCCGTATTATATGCCTATCACTGGTGAGTCCAAACTTGTGGATAAGAAGCTGGTGGCGTCGGGAAGCTGACAGGCTGAGCAGCGTCGAATATGAATTACACCTGTGTTTGTGTTGGTGGATTCCTGCTCATCACGTTGCTCTGGTGGGTTGTTGCGGGAAAGAAGTACTCGAAGAATATGCAGAAGGCACGCGAGGAGGAGCAGAATGCTGCTCGTGCTATGATGGTTACTCACGAGGGAAAGGAGTAGGACGTAGGATCTTGACCTACGACAGGTAGTGAAGAAAGTGACAATGTAAGTTTTTCATTGAATATCATCCTAACTGTGTATCGGTAGCCGACACCAGTGCAGTGTTAGAATGACGCCGTGTCTCATGTAGTCATTGCTCTTGTATTTCAAGCCCGAGGACTTTTACCATAAATGCCTCTAGACGGCAATGCAAATAGTGAGCTGACTAACAAGCAAGTCGTCATGATCTCGACGTAAGACAATCGACCGAGTGAAAAATGGTACTAGCACATTCGACCGAAGAGAAACTCCTTGACGATGGGCGAGCCCGAGAATTCGGGATTGAGTAGGACGCAACTAGGTAATCTAAGGTTAACTCCAGATGGGAAACTGTCGATGGGACGGCAAACTTACTTCAAGAAGTATTCCAGACCGACTCGTCGGGACTCAAGAAATGCAGGGCGAAATTTATCTGGAAAAGATCGTTAACTGAGAGTCAGCTTTGTCCACTGAGAGACACATACAGAGAACACTTTTAGGAGGCAGTGCTGGTAAAGCGTTCTTCGCATGTGGGAAGGAGGCTTGCAATTGCCGTCGTAGATCATCAAATTCGGAGTATCTGTGCGCTGTGAGCAAGATGACTCTCGTCCAGCTGTTCGGGCCCGATAGGATGATGAGATCGGGACGTACCTCATGCGAACAGTTATGGGACCACCCTACGGCTACGTTAACACCAGATCCATATCGTCATGAACAAGGAGCCAACATACATCAAGGGTTTGTATTCTGCAACTCCAAACCACATATGCGCCTACTCCAGTCTTCCCTTGGACAACCGCATAGTCATCAACGGTGACACTCTTGGCCCAGAGACCCCGGCTGGTTTCCGAGTTGAGATCCTCAGTATGATCCTCTAATGTGATGGCCGGCTCATCCAAAGAGATCTGAGATGTGCGGGATGCATTCCGGTGGTGGCTCCAGTACGGCGGAATCACACCGGAGACAGGACGATCAGTGGACGAGGCATGACGGGCCTGCGGGAGGACAGAACCGTTGCTCACGCTAACTCCGTCGGATAGCGCAGCAGCGACAATGGTATCTGTATCGACAGCGGGGGAGGTTGTGGTGGTGGGAAACTGGGGAGAGGAGGATAACGGCTGCGGCCGAGACACCGAACCGGTCTCCTCATTCGCTGGCTCCATCCATTTAACTACCTGGGGGGTTGGACGTGCTGGCACGGACGGCAACCAGAGAGGGAGAGTGACAATCAAATTCTGGTACTCTGTAATATTCGACTAAAACAAGTAAGTAAAACGTAAAGAAATGCAACCTAAAATGAGGGGAGCAACGGTGGAAGCAAGGGTACGGGGACGCACCGATATTGAACACTAACGGGGCTCACTAGCGAAGCTTGCTGGGTGGTTGGTCTGTGTCCTGCTCAGTGGATGTAGTAGACATGCATCGAGAGTCTGAGAGGCGTTGAGAGGAAAGTAAAAATAGAAAAAGAAATCGGATCAGATGCAAGGTCACTTCAAACAATGTTGTCCATGAGAGATTTATGACGAGTCTGAGACATAGAGTATGCCATCTGACCATCGATGTCTTTGCATTTCTTGATTCTCGGGTCGATCTCCTCCCCTTGATGTCCTCCAGCCAAATACCAGCCAGGTCACGGGACTTTCAAGAATACCGCATATTCGAGAAGAAAGTCATGAGTCAGCAGGTTTCCTTATCTGTACTAGTCCCTTCATCTTCTTTTGGTTCTTCATCGCCCTCGGCATTCTTCAGCAGCTGTCCTCAGTTATTGTTGATCAAACTCTATCACGACAGACATCTCCTTTCCTCCGTTCCAACTTATGCCTGACTATATGTTGTAAGAGTATCTGTCTTTGAGGATTACGGATACCATTAGCCGTTATTCCGGAATCTCCTTCGTGCTCGTTCTGTTGGCGACCAGCACCATCCATCTAGTGTAAACACTAGAAGAAGCCAAGAGTGGTTCCGTCCAACCAAATTCCTTGTTTGGGGAAAAGTCAATGTCTACCGGTGAGACATCTGAACACCTCCCCAAGCAGTTATCCGTCAATAATATCTGATCGGCTCTCTTTGGTTCAAAACATCCCAGCACCATTTTCGGTTCCAGCGTCAGGTGCGGAGAAGACACAGTGATAAGGATTTGGATTATTGAAGTACGAATGCGTAGTTTGTATGTAAACTTGAGACACCCCACGTCCGATAGGAAGTATGTGGATTCCCAGCATCGATAGGGGTTCTAAGCTCGGGATGCAAACCCTTGTTCGTATTATTGAGGATTCCCCGGATCGACATTTTTTTTTTTTTTTTTTTCTTCAATGGAAAACAGTAGCCCCTTAACAAGACACCCTTTATTTCTGACCACCAGCCAGCCGATCTGATCCGTATTCTATATTGTCTGTCTACCTAACAACCAAGACAATCCCCAGCTAACCACCCGACTTTTTTTGCCAAATTGCCGCAAACCAAGGCTGGATGATCCGATACCACAGTTGGCAGGTGACTAACTACGGAGCATCGTACTACACTACTACGTACTCCAATAGCTCGCCACCAGTTTCCAGTGACAGATAGAGCATCTAGTCTCAAATGTGGTGTAGCGCTAGTCCTTTACTAGTCCACTGCTGCAGTAGTACCACGGACTACGGACCGACTTCTTTAAAAGCTCCTGCGTCGGCCATATTCAGTAGTCAATCCGGAGCTTCTCCTCACTGTCGACTTGTTTGCTTCTCCACTTGTACACTTGGTTCGGTGGTTCCCAGGTCAATTCCAAGAGCCCATCTTCTTCTTCCACTTTCCATTCAGGGCTTCCATTATCAGTAGTCGACTGTGTCACAAGGGCAAAGGGCATTGCTATTGACCTTTGGTTCTTCCGGAAATCTCTCTTCTCTCTCTCCCTGTCCTCCTTTGCGACCTTGACTCTCAAGGTATCCTTAGAATCGCCACAAGTACAACTTAGAAAGTTTCCAAAAACCCTGCGATTGTCACGTCTTTCTCGTTCAATTGTCGACATACTATCATAGACAATATGATCTTCTCTCGTACTCTGATTGTCGCCGCCTCGATGGTCGGGCTGGTCAGCAGCCAAACTTGGACTGCCGTGAACATCAGTGCCATTGACCCCGCCACACGAAGTAGGTCTCAAGTACATTAGATCTTACACTCGAGCTCTGTCTAACTACTTTGACCCTGCCAGGCAAATGGTGTCTCGATCAGACCTCGTCCTGTCCCCTCCTCTGTCTCCAAATTAATGCCACTAGCGATCCAAGACAGAACGAGTGCGACTCTGTAAGTCAAATCCGACACCTCGGGCCACCTCCTAGAATGATTTGCTGACAGGCCTCCTTCTCTTCGAATAGGATTCTCTCTCTTACCAGTGTGTTTGCTCCAACGGCATCTCTCCAAACACCTCCGAATACTCTCAGACCATTCCCTTCTACCTCTGCACCGAGGCCAACAACGAGTGCGTTGATCGATGCTCCAGTGCCGACTCGGCCTGTCAGTCTGCTTGTCGCTCTGATCACCCTTGTGGAGCTCAGAATCCCACGCGCCACAATGTCACTACGACCAGTGCCACATCGAACCCTACCAACAATCCTGCTACGACAACGACTCTGGCCGCATTCACAGGAGAAGCCACGAACAAGAAGAACGCGGCAGTCAGGGTCTCGTCCGTTGACATCGGCCATGTGTATGGTCTGTGTGTTGTGGTGGGTGGCTTCATTGCTGGATTCGCAGTGCTGCTGTAAACCGCTTGCGTGAACCCTCACTAGACTGTGCGCTGTATATTGGTACAGCTCGGAATAGTTTTCTGGATTGTAATTTCTTCTTGTTGATGTTATTCTAAGACATTGTCAGCGTCATTTCATGTCTCTATTTCTGTTTTTCCTTGCATACATGGAGTCCCCGCTATCGTTCCCAGCTTATTCTTTTCAAGACTTTGCGGAGGCCTTATTCTGCTCTGTGACATGTTGATCAACTTTCACGACCTATGCCTATCTGAATAATCATAATCACGGTACTTCCTTCGGATTTGTTGCAAGTACGTCTTATTAATGAATAAGAGTAGGTATGACTGGTTGTAGAGGCATTAGCTATCAAGGACCGTGACGGATGCGCGAGATGAGCATTTACTCCAGCTGATGTGGAAGGTACCTTCGTCTTGCTTACAACACCTCGAACCGGGTCGGACGACATGCATTTCAGGCAAGAACAAACAGCTGACGGACAGGATATGGACATCTGGGAGATCTACGTTACCTAGATAAGGGTTCTGATAGTCACTGTTGGGACTGGCTGTTCATCTCAGATGGCTGGTACACTCTTTCAAGACTGCCGTCGTTGATGAGTCTTTCCTCCGTCTCGCATTTCTACCGTTCCTTCCTTCGGGAGCTTCTTTCCTGTTTCGTCTCGCTGCCCGTCACGTTCATCTCTCAGCAGTAAACCAGAAATCGCGCGACTCAATTCTCAGTTCTGCCTGGAAGAGCATGTGTAACCGCACTCACGCCATCTCAACGACCTGCTTCTTCCTCTCAAATCCAGATCGTCCTCCCTTTGAATTGTCATCGCCATACACCTAGTCGAGGTCATACTCACAGGATGCCTAGGGTATGCATGAGCCACCTCCTCTCGACTGGCATTTCAATAGGCCCAACAGTGAGGGGTTTGATTGCTGATAGCAGCAGGGTCCATTTTGTCAACTTTGCTTGCAAAGAGGCCATTCCCTGATCAGGTGCCCACTGAGAGAGGGTCTGATGTTCCTCGTATGTGCCACGGTGATTGAAACCATTGTATCATTCCGGAGACTGATGTTTGATACAGGGCCACGTGTCTATGATGCTGCAACTTCCGAACGAAACAGAGAGGATCTCGAGGCCATCCGAAAATACAAGCAATAGACCAGATTGGCGCCGTCGGAGAAGATGGTTGAACGCCAGCCGTCGCATGAGAGAGCAAATTACTAGACGGAGAGGCAATATGGTAGATCCCGACGTGCAACTATATCACCGAAGTAGGACTGACATACACACTAGTACAATCATGCCAGCCGTGGCACCTATACAGCTGTCCAGTCTATGCCACCTCCGCCTCCTCCACCGAATACACGGTAAGCACCTCACTTGGCATGCCCCGGATCTATAGATAACAAAGCAAAAAAGTGCAATCAGTATGGCGGGGAACGCCTCCGTCATAACAGTTGGGTATGTATCACGTTGGAACAGACGTGCTAGGCTCAATGTTAACAGTCATCCTGGCTCATCCTCATCTTCAATCATTTATTCTACCTAGTGAGGGAAGACTCCTGTAGGATCGTCATTGTTGCTGACTTTCTCCCAGCTCTGCAACAAGCGACTCGACCATTGCAGACGAGAATCAGTGAGTATATATCAAGTATTCCTGTTCAATCGCGTGACCTGAGGCTCATTGCGTAATAGCACAAACCTGAGGTCGGCTTGACGCTTGTTCCTATGCTTATTGCATGAGTTAATATGGAGATTCATTAGTAGCAATCACTCCTCCAGGACTGAGCCGGTTGAGAGCTCTCAGGCGGCATCCGACGGTCTTCCCCTGAGACTCGGTAATGAGACTAGGCTGCCTGGAAACTCGAGCAATGGAGGGCTAGTCAATGAGACCATGTTCGATGCAATTGCCTCCATGGACCACCCGGAGAGAGAATATGATTCACACTGGGATTCGACCGCGCAGGTTGATACTGTGATGACAGGCGCAGTAGGAGCTGTAGTCGGGGTTAATGGTGACGGGATCTTTGACATTATCTGATCAACTGATGACTTGCTTTCCCATACTTGTGCTGGAGATGGTCTGAATGCCGTACAAGAATCATCAAATTATTGTTTTGTCGGGGAGAAGAATGGAGGCGGTGAATTCGGCGGTCAATCCTCGACGATGGTGCCTTGGGGCTTAGAATGTCAAATAATGCCGGTGATGATCACTTCGATACGCCATCCTTAGTGCCTCTAGAGTTGCAATCGCATATCTATTACGCGTTGAGAGCCATCGTCTATAGAACGGATTTGTGGGTTCAAAACTACTTGTTAGAAAATCAGTCTTACTATTCACTTCTGTTACTTCCCTACTGTCACTAGCCCTCCGCCCATTGTCCAGTCCAGTACACCGTTCTCCGCATCGCCCTATCAAGGTCACCGAGATCAGCTTTGGGAATCCTACATTGTGCTCCTTCTCTGCATATCAAAACGCCGCTTGAAGCTCCTCGCTATCTTTTTGTTTCCAACATAAATCCGATCCAAAAGACCTACCGTGCCGTCGACGCAGGCGTTGCACGTGCACCACGACGACGCCATGGACTCAACACTCCCAGATGCTTTTGATGCATCTCAGCCTGGTTTATACGCGGAACAGGCCTCTAGTGCAGGGATGGTTGATCCAGAGGGTACAAATGGGAACATGATAGCGTCAGCGCCTTTTGTAAAAGTTGATGGTGAGTTGTCCCCGGCTATACGAGCGGGAAGATTAACTGTCAATGAGGGGAAGTAGCTAATGTACATTGAAGACCCACCTAAATTTGAACTCGAGTCTTACATTGCGAACTACACCGGTTAGTAGGAAAACATGGCACGCACCCAAAGCTCCGACGGCCGCAACTAATGATACTCGCACAACAGGACGGACCAGATTCAATCGCTTGTACCTCATAGGCACTTGCTCCACGTATCTCTCTACGGAAGCGCTCAAGGCTGCGGTTGCTGAAGCAAAGGCGGGAAAAGATGTCGTCAGGTACCAACAGGCTGTTCGAGCACTGGCCGAAGTCTCGCCGAATGAACCTGAAGCCATTGAGGACACGAAATGGGTTGACCATATGCAGAGAGTTGTGAAGTCTGAGACGGACCGGTTAGAGCACGAGTTGAGGGGTTATAAGAACAATCTGATCAAGGAGAGCATACGGGTAAGTGGAATATTGCTGGAATGAGCAGCGATGCTAACTTTGCATGTTCACAGATGGGCAACGAAGATCTCGGAGTACACTACCATCAGATCGGCAACTTGGTGGCCGCTTCCAAGGCCTACTCGCGCATGAGGGACTACTGCACAACACCCAGCCACATCGCGTCTATGTTGTTCAAGATTATCAATGTGGCAATCGAACGGGGAGACTGGTTGAGTGTACAATCCAACGTGCATCGGCTGCGCAACCTCCAGTCGAAACCGGAAGAGCAGGCGAAGAACCAACCTAAGATGTCAGCCGCTTTGGGCTTGTCCCAGCTGCACTCTGGATCGTACTTGGATGCTGCGAACAGTTTCTTGACTACTGATCCGTCGTTTGGGGATTCTTACAACGAAGTCGTCACATCGAACGACGTGGCGGTTTATGGTGGGCTCTGTGCTCTTGCGTCGATGGATCGTAATGAGCTCCAGCGCCGCGTACTCGACAACAACTCGTTCCGCAATTTCCTCGAACTCGAACCGCATATTCGCCGGGCGATCTCCTTCTTCTGCAATTCAAAGTTCCGGCCTTGTTTGGAGATTCTTGAGTCCTACAAAGCCGATTATCTACTCGACATCCACCTTCAGCGTCATGTCAGCACCCTTTTCACCCGCATCCGTACCAAGGCTATCCAGCAATACCTCGTTCCTTTTAGCCGCGTGACGCTCGATTCCATGTTGAAGATCTTTGCTCCAGGGGTCGCTGGCGGCCAGGCGCATCCGACCGACTTCAACTCCCCGTTCGTGCAAGAGCTGATCAGCCTGATCCAGGATGGAACGCTGGATGCTCGGATTGACTTGGAGAAGGGGGTGCTTGTATCTAAGCAGACCGATCTACGGACAGACGTGCAGCGAGCAGCACTGGAGAGCCTTGTCAACTTCAGAAAAGAGGCACATCTCCGGCTGTTGCGGACTAACATCCTTCGTGCCGGGCTAGAGGTGCGGGCACCGGGAGAAGAGAGGAAGCTCAGACCAGAGGATCGAGGCGTTGGAAGAGGATTGGCTGGGCTAGGGGGTAAGTATTCTCGATGATGACCTTCTACGAGACATTCGTCGACACAATAATATCAGTCCGGAGTCTGAGAAGACCGTATTTTTATGGTTATGAATAACATTTGACATCCTTCTCTACATTGTTCTGTGCATAGGACCTCAACCCTTGATTAAGATTATGACAGATTAATTAATTTACCATAGCTTAAGGGCCCAACTATTCGAACACATTAGAGCAGTATCCCCTTGTCAGTTGTCAATATCAAGTGTGAGGGTAGCTGATGAAGTTATAACGTCATAGCTCCGTTGCATCATTGACACGACCTCAGACCACCAGGTGCAATGCAATACCAATATAAATGATCTCAAGCTTACCTACAGTAACCAAAGTATCCGACCGATTCTCAACTTCAAATAATCGTCATTGCATTTGTTGCGATCATGGCGCTCGTCGACCAAGCCGCTACATTCCTACACCAATACGTCTACTCATGGCTTCACACCACTCCCAGTAAAACTCCCGACGCATTGAAACTGGGCGTCATCTCAACCGCCCAAATCAACCCTGCAGCCAGTCAGTTTTATATCTCATGATGCCACGCCGCATACTAACAAACCCTCTAGTAATTCACCCCGCCGAATCCCACCCATCAGTCATCCTCCACGGCATCGCCTCGCGGGATCTCTCCACAGCCCAAAAGCACCAGAGAAAGTACCGTTTCAGCAAAGCCTACGGCTCGTATCAGGATCTTCTGGACGATCCGGACATCGACATCGTGTACATATCCACGCCGAACGGGCTGCACTACGAGTGGGCCGCAAAGGCGCTCAAGGCCGGGAAGCATGTGCTCTGCGAGAAACCGTTTACGGCGAATGCGGACGAGGCGAAGAGGTTGGTGGAGCTGGCGAGGGAGAAGGGGTTGATTGTTGAGGAGGCAGTAAGTTTTTTTGAGTTTTTTTACTTGCGCGGCAGGCAGGGTTGACAGATGTAGTTCCATTGGCAGTTCCATCCGGCTGCGCATGCGTGGCGCCAGATCCTGGATTCGAGGAAATACGGGAAGATAATCTGTACAAAGGCCGCTATGACGGCTAGTCCTGGTGTCCCCGGGGGGGATATCCGGTGGAAGTTTGATCTTGGGGGTGAGTTGTAATATCTACCCTCGGTCGTGCAGCAAGTAGTTGACAAGGTATAGGCGGCTCGGCAATGGACATGACATACGCGCTGTCGTTTACCCGCTATGCGCTGCATGCGCAGCTCCCGCAGGAGATCATCTCCGTCAGCGTGCGGCCGTCCAAGGATGACCCGCGCGTGGACGAGGCCATGTACGCGCACATCGACTTCCAAGGCCCGGACGGTAACCCCGTGCACAGCCGCGTGTACACGGACATGGCGCGCGAGAAAGTCGCGGGCGTGATTCCGCGGGTCTGGGAGTTACCGTCCATCGAGGTCGAGACGGAGAAGGCGATTATTTACTACTATAACGCCATGATGCCGCATCTGTACCACTACATCTCCATCCAGGACAAGACGACGGGCAAGGTGAGCTACAAGAAGCAGTACTCTGGTGGTCCCTTGTGGGGCAATGTGGTGACGAGCACGGGGGAGAAGGGCGGAAACCCGCACTGGAGTACGTATCGATGGCAGCTGGAGGCGTTTGTGGATGCGGTTAAGGGGAAGACGCCGGCGTATTGGGTCAGCGGGGAGGAGAGTATCTGGCAGATGGAGTCAATTGATTCCCTGTACAAGGCGGCCAATTTGCCTGTGCGGCCGTCCCAAGGGACTAAGCTGGGATAGGCGGGTTTTCTACCAGAATTATTCAATTTATGTATATTCGGTTTGATAGTTTTGTACAGTAGATCACGTTCCAAGCAAATAATATGACGGAGCCATCACGCCATTAAGCCAGGGCCAGAGCCATAGCCATAGCAGCACCCCCAATAGCCCAGTTGGCATTTCCAGTAATCTGAGGCATGGCAGCGTTTCCGCTGGAGCTGTGGGACGTCGAGGCCGAGGCCGAGGCCGAAGGCGAAGAGCCAGTGGCCTGGGCGCCGCTCGTCGCAGACGGGCCCGACGTGGCCAGGGTAGTCATTCCAGTCGCCGAAGGCGCGCCGCCGGTGACGGATGCTCCAGTGGTGGCGTGCGCACCGGCGGTGGCCGTGCCGGTCACCACAACGGGCGCAAAGAAAGAGCCAATGTCTGTGGTTATGGCGGTGGCAGTCACTTGAGTTTCGGTGCTGTCCGTCTGCGTAATTTGGCAGGAGATGGAGGTGGTGTCGCCGAGATTGCAGCCGTATGCGGCGTAGCTGTTGAGGATGTCAGCGGTACGCTCAATTTTCTTCTCACCACAAGGGCGACATACTAGCCGTCGTAAGAATACATTTGCTGCACCGTCGAGGCGTCCTGGATAATTGTGAGACCGCCTCCGGGCATATCGCAGTCGTCACCGGCAGAGACGCAGTTGACGCGGTAGGTGGTTGCAGAGCCGCTCTGGGTTCTCACGTTAGATAGATGATTTTGCAGAACATTGAGCAATGATGATTCCCGACAAACGTACACTGCCGAGGACTTCCGCCACGAGACTCAGGGAATCAGCATAGGGCAGAAAGAGGGACACGGTGCTCTCAGCAGCGACTGTGGCCGCAGTGGCTGTCAGGAGCGTAAGAGAGCGGATGGCGTTGGCACGCATTTTGTAAAATCTCAGTGAAAGTGGTTATATTGAAACAAAGGTTGGATGTGAAGAGATGGAGCTCGTCGGGAAGAGAGCGACGAAAAAGGTAGGGTCAGAAATATAATGATTATGGGATCATTCGTCGTACAGACGTAAACGGAGTGACTGGCAGCAAAACAGATAATTCAATGAAAGTTCGAATGATAAGGACAAAGGATGTCGAAGGAAAACGAGTCAAGCATATTCGCCTCTGGGTCATCATGCCCCTGATAAATGACTCTCAATCTTACTAGTCAGCCATTAGTGCATGGGAGGCGGCTGAGGCTGAAAACCTAGTCGTTTCGTTGGCTCGCTAATGTATCCGAGTCAAACGAAACTTTCAGAGAATGGGTCGAGGTGTGCTTGACTATCCGTAATTGGACGCATCGTGGTTTTTGTTCAGCCGCACAAGGGCAAGATTGGTGGTTATTTCCAGAAACTCTGGCAGTGGAAGCGTCGGGGATTGCCGCATCGATCCATGTCTTGAATGGAATATGGAGTCTCCGAGTCAGGTCTGCAAATCCTGATTGGATAACTGTGAACTAACGCCATTGGCGGGAAACACTGATGCGGCAGCTAGGCTTTTCCAGGACTAGCGCAAGTATTAAAAATTCCGATTGGTAATTAACTTGCCTTTTTGGCTGAAGCGTTTATTGATTGAAAAATACATCTGAGGTACCCCCAAGGAAAGATTCCTCTAATATTTGCGCAACAATGCGAGCGTGGCTCTTGGTCATTGACTCTATGTTATGCAAAGTCCATCGAGTCAAGTAACAAACACGCAATGTTCGAGGAATACCGTCATCGAATCGTAAGAATTCTTCGTCCTGCCACTTTCCGACATAAAGGCACTGCCCATCAAGTAGTGTTGGCGATTGGTCTGCCGCGATTGACACAGCTAAGTATCAGTACGGTTGGCAGACTTTTTCGCATAGCTCATTGCACCAGTTGCGATCCCTGCGAGAAGCAGTACAGCATTGAAGCCGGCCATTATATAGAACGGACTTGCCGGAGACAAATCATCGAACAGTAGACCTCCAAGCTTGGTTAGAAACAATATTCCTGCCCCTCCGTACAGGGAATAAACACCAGCAATTGATCCCTTCAGGTGTGACAACTGGTGGCCTCTCTGGCGCGTAGACTCTTGTAGCAAGGGTTGATGTTCGTCGACGTCTTGGTTTACCTCGTTCGTCGAAGTACTCACGGGACCCTCTTGTGTATGAAAAATCTCTGAACCGTCAGAATCAAGACTGATACTGAGGATACCATTGCTCAGCACCGCCAGGCTGCAGACAATGGCCCCGATTTGGCTGATACCGATCAAGCCCATTAGAACAAAGACACCCGCACTGCCGTCCGATCCGCTAAATTGAGGACTAGGCAACAGCGCAAACACAGTATAGCCAACGATACCAGCCAAAGATGCGAACAGAAGCGGTGCATGGTACCGGCGCGATCTTTCGGACAGATACCCAAACGCCGGTGCCGCGATCAGAGCAACTAGCTGAGAGACGCCGGTCAGGATGGAAGCCAAGATGTAGGCTTTGCGGCACGTTTGTTTGATATCCCTCGGTATCGATTCTGGTACCTCGCCCTGCTCATGACCGCACAGGCCAGATCGTCGATAGTAGTGGTTGACAAAAAGGGGAATAAACAATGAAATGCCAACTGATGAGGCGCGTGCAACAAAACCTCCCAGGTAACCGAGGAATATATCCCGGTTTCGTACCCCTAAGTAAAGTGCTGTACCAAGTTGATCGAGGTATGGTAATTGTATCACTCCTTTGCTCGAGGCCAGCCGGTCGGTCTCAGACGCAGATGTCTTTGGGAAGGCCCACAATAAGTACCATCCCTTTCCTTCTTCGCTTGCAAGACCCCTAAGACCCATCAGGCAGCAGAAACTGATCAAAAGCGCCACCGAAGCAACCAAGTAGTAACTGTTCTGGATGGCTTCCGAGGGAGAGTAACCCCAGCTCTGAAAACGAGCTGGTAGAGGAAGGAAAATGGTTAGAGATATGAGGGCACCGCCGCCAGCGCACATGCCCACAAATCCGGCCAGCCGAGAGGAAGAAGACTTCGCCTCAGCCCGGGGTTCTTGCCTGAGACGCACTTGCTCGCTTGAAGTTCCTCCGGCCACGGCAGGTAAGACAGCTGTCACCATGGTTGAGACTGCAGAGCCTCCAAGGCTGAAGAATAACCTTCCCAGTAGCAGCTGAGGATAGACATTTCTTGCTTGCACGAACACAACCAGCGAAGCGGCTATGATGCCATAGCCGATGACGCAAACCTTTTGTGAGAGCATGTCAGTGATGATGGACCTACATCGAAAATAAAGTTGACTGAACGTACATTGCGGACACCTATACGATCAGAAAGCAACCCCCATAAAGGGCACGCGGCCAGCGCGAGCAGTTCATCAGCAAATCCCAAGGTGCCAACAGCGTCTCCCTCACCATCGTGTAGTCCAATCAATTCAGTGACCACAAAGGAGACAGATGAATTGACGAAGACCAAAAAGGCAATGGAGAATGGACAGACGGCAAGCAGATATGTGAATGTCTGAGTGCGGGTGGCTGTAAATAGAGCTGGTTGTGACGCCATCATATCACCCAAATCATAGTTTGACCGATGTGCTTGGTACGTCTGCGGAGACCTTTGCACTCCTTTCTGTATGGGACTCTGCTCTAGAGCGATTCTGCATCAAGATCCAAGCGAGATGACGAGAATGATTCGATGCGGATTTAGTTGAATAGGATGATTACGGCTGATGCATAGCCATCACCTGTCTGTCATCCAGGTCACATGATCTAAATATCCATTCCCAGATCGACGACTCGCATATCGTATTCAAGCTGAGAATCCAGGAACTTAATACTGATCAATTATAGACGAGAGGAGAACGTACTACGGAATCTTCGGAGTGACACAGCAGTTGTATCAGCTTCTGCCTGTTTGTTTATAGTCCGCAGTATTCCAGTGAAGGGTTGCATTGCAATCGATAACCATACGAAGCCTTAGAATCCACTAAAAGCCAGCATCCAACTCTAATTCGCCCTGAAACCTTCTGACAATCTCTCAATCACAAAAACAAAGGATATACTCGGGAAACTCGAGTCTTGACTCCTGGGTTTTGGCTGATAACTAAGCTGATGATCGCTGACGTAAGGCAAGGAACTCGGGCGGTGGGCCGAATGGTTCCCCACGAGTTGTAGTCTTACCTAGTCTACAGGTATAGCTGTCCAAAACCTCCGTACACGCGATCCATCTCCGGCCACATTTCTAATCTCTCACTCGCTACGGACGCTGTGTATCAACCGACTTTCTAATGCCTTATTGACCTTGACTTTGGCTGCATCCCCTTTTGTGTTTATATCAATGACATACGGCTCCCAACTCGCCTCATTTAGTTTCTGGCCATGAGACTAGCCGCTTATGCTGGGGTAAGTTGCTCGCACGAGGCGGAAGAAGCTTGGACTCGACAACAGGCTGACCAACATTACCTATAGGCCTCTACGGCTCTGGCTACGGCCGTTGTCCTGAAAGCGCTTCACCAGAGGGCTAATTTCTACGCCGCTTGCGTATACCTTTCTCAGAGCAGCGCGAATCTCATGGTGAGTCTCCCGGTGGTCGTTCTAGAACGAAGCCGGCGAAATAACACAGAATACTGACTTACCACAGATACTTACAAATTTGTGTCTTCTCGTCGTCGGGATTCTCTTGTTCTGGCTTCAACGTCTCCTGTACGGACCCTTGCGGCCGATTGAGACCGAACAGCTTTACGAAAAGGCATGGTTTGCGGTCACAGAAACATGCCTGGCAATGACAATATTCCGGGGGGAGCTTGGCGGATGGTTCTTGGTCATGTTTGTCTGTCTACTTGTTGGAAAGGTCTGGGGCTGGATTGGTGAAGGCCGCGTCGAGTTCCTGGAGCAGCAACCCCCGGCCAATCCGCGCTTGTTTCACACCCGGCTGGCGATTTCCCTCGTACTGGCAGTTCTGTTTGATTCACTCATGCTGAAATACTGCATAACGACCGTTCTTGAACAAGCGCGACCGGATATGATGGTTATGTTCGGGTTTGAGTTTG